ATATACACACACACACATTTTTTAGATGAGTGCTCACTCATGTCAGAGTTGGTATTTCAGTATTCCATGCAAACTAAAATGAGCAAATAATTAAATCAAAGCAAATCTCTGCAAACCAACCTGACCTTCACTTTACTTGAAACCTGCCTATTTAAAAAAACACAAAGTTAAAATGAGCCAAAGCCTTGATATTAAGTTACTGTGTGCATACCAGCACACCATTATGAGCCACTTAGTAACTTTCAGGCTAATTACGTCTTATACACGTGCTCTGAATATGCAATTTCTGAACTTTTCCAAGATTATATCAGTGAGTAACAACTTAAGTAAGGTGGTACAAAGAGCTAATCCAGTGTGAGAAGTCTTACCTTGCAATCTTGGCAGCACTGTCCATGGGCGCAGACGGCGTCTCCCTTCAGAGTGCATGTGGTGGCATTACAGCAGGGGTTCATGCACTACTGGAACGCAGGAAAAAAAAAAAAAACAACAACAAAGCAGTTAACATGATGTGAACCTGATCACCGCTGTGAGGATCCCCCATCAGCCGGTCCCTGTCAGATGAAACGCTCCGAGTCAGCAGAGCGCACTTCCTGTCCGTAGATTCCTGCCCTGACCCCAAGACCTCMGAGTGGAAACGAAACCCTGAACTTCATGTGTTTTAGATTTAGCATTTCTCCTGGAGTTAAAAGATGTAAAGAGGGGTGTGAGGATGAAATGACCCAGAAAAGAAAGCAATGAACCCATAAAAAAAAGCTGGACTGAAGAGCAAAAATATTTTGCAGTGAACATAGCACGGGGGGAAAAAGAGGCGAGGCGTTCATCTGGCATTCTTAATGCATGACAAAACAACTCATCGGTTTTATGCAAGCAGCATCACAAAGCRTTTGCTATGAGAAAACAACAAGGCTGTTTGGTTTTGCGAAGCTCTAAAATAATAACATGCGTTGAGGGCTGTAAATGGAGACGGCTGGWCTGCTGAACGGATTTAACTTTCGGTGCTGTTTTATGAGTTTGGCAGTTTACCTCCTGGCCTTTTTTCTGAGCCTATTGTTTTAAGAGAAGAGAAAACCTGGTTTGATCTCCAAGTTTAAATGGGCTGTCAAATCTAGCAAGCTGTGCGATGGCATCATGGAGGTCATGGTAGGCACGCTTGCAGGGCTAGAAATGAAACATGTATATTGCATTGTTGGTCTGCTGGAGGTAAAAAAAAACACCTACTTCCATCTATAAGAGGTGGTGTCATAATTCTGCTTACCTAAACATTCACACTTAGTTTAGCCAAACCAATAAGCCTCTGTGATTTAATTTGAAAGTCAAATAAACATTACTTTACTACAAGAGACTGCAGTCTTGTAGTTAAGCACGACTAATGAAGCAAGTCGACTCTCTGGAGAAATTGACCACATCATGCCCATTTAAGAACAATCTTGTTAAACTTTCATGCCTATATTTATATTTCAAGGTTTTTTCAGCTTAACAGCCCAACGTTCGGATCTCCAGAGCATTCAGCTTTGGAAAAAAAAAAAGTGTGAAACTAATTAGTCTACGATGCATATTTAATTAGCTTATTTTTTTTAATCTGCTGAAACACAGCAGCTACAAATGGTAAATACAAATTAGACTGCCGCTATAATCATCAGTCACTATAAGGCAAACACTGCTTTGAGATAATTCATTTATAACGTCGTTTTTTTTTTTTTTGCAAATGTCAGTGTGTAAATATGAATCTGTTAAAGACATAATCTATGGTAGRAATAGGAATGTTTCTCAAAAGTTACCAACTTCTCACTGCTGTTYAGATCATTACTTTTCAGAAGACATAATTCTTCATATTTCCACCCTCTCAAAAGAGAATTTGACAATTTTTTCCCCAATTTTATACAGTAAATCTCCACATACTGAACATTTACAGGTTCAAATCTTGTTTGAATATTTAAATGTATTTCCTAGCCTTCCTGCTTTTGCAGCAAACATTGTTTTCTTTTAATGTAATCATTTTTCTCCCTTCGCCATTTCTCTGTCTGCATTTGCTTCTATCCACCTCCACTTTTTCCTACCATCACTACAGTGCAGCTGAAGACGCAGAGATACAGTATGTATTTGTCTTGGCGGTTTTAAGCAACGGCGTGCAGTTCCATCTGAGCAATGCCGTTTTCTCCTGTGACTCATATGTCACATCAGTGTGTGAGCCGATGCATGAAGTAGAGTCCATTCGTTTGGATTGTTGGGCCAAAGAAAACGTCTTTTAGCATTGACTGAGTTACACAGAAAGTTTGTTTTGCTTTATCACACAGTTGGACGTTCGTTTGATTAATGGGTCTCTGCCAAAGATATGACATCTCTATGAAGATCGGTGGAGAGAAGGTGAGATGTGAATTCAATAAAAAGCTTTACTTTGATGATCTCAACCTCAAGTGATTTGCTGTGTTCAAAAAAAAAAAAAAAAAAAAAAAAAAGGTTTTTGGCACGGCACATGTGAGTGCTTTTAAGTCATGATAAAATTGGCAATGTCAAGAGAAAGTTTGACCTAAAATTTAGAAACTTCAGTAAAAGGAGGTTTAAGTGCACTTCTGAGAACCTTAGTGGTTCTGGGTGATTACTTACTAAGTGATTTCGTCTTGAAAGAACTGCAACATATCTAAATAAATAAAGCAACAGGTTAACATTTTATTTAGAAAAGTGAACATTTACTGCTTTTTGGAGTTTAATGCACACCCAACAAGTTGTAACTTATTTGATAACAATTTACTTCAACTACAAAAAAAAAAAAACCCTGTAAAAATACTGTCTAGTTTTTTATAAGTTTTAAAAATATACCATCACATGAACAGGACCTTATTATCTACACTGCAAAGCATTCTGGGTAAATGATAACGTGTTCCGCTGCGAGCTCTATCCAGATTGAAGGTTAATTTTGGACAATGCTTGATATTCAACCTTTTTAAATGAAACCAGAGAGCTGATAGAGAGGAGAATGTAGAAATGATTCAGAAGATAAATAAACATGTGGATGGAGGACAACAGAGCTGGTTCATGGAAAGCTCACCTCAGCTTTAGCCTTTTAGCTCTCACGTTAGCTTCCGAGCTAATATTATTAGCCTGGGTACTAACATCACATATTTATCAGTAATTAGTTACATCAAAAATATATTATTAATAAATATTAAGTGTTAGTTAGTTAGCTAATATTATTAGCTCAGGAGCTATATATTTATGTATTAGCTCAGGAGCTAACACAAAACCTAAAAGGCTAACAACGAGTAAATATCATTTCATCCGTATTGCGGCATTAATAATATGGTTCGTCTGTGTGACAATAATTTTTTTTCAAATTTATAAAAACTAAACAGTCAACAGTTTCTTTTACGTCAAATAATGTCTAATGTTACAACCAGTTGGGGATTCTCTTTCAGGGAGAATTGTTTTGTACCGTGTTGTGAAATASATCTTTTTAGCAACAACATCAGCTTTATTGCTGCTAAGTCTGACCACAGCGGTGGACTCTGATACACTCGACTGCAAAAGGTGACAGTTAATTTTACCTCTGGCTCTCCGCAGTCACACTCTTCTCCCTCCTCCACATAGCCATTGCCGCACTTCTGTCCTCCATAAAGCACCTTGACCTCTGGCATGTTGTACAAACACATGCCCACGCCTTTCTCCAGGCTGGCTGCGAGGTCCTTCTTGCTGCATGTGCTGAACACGGTTGGGAATGGATACCTATAAAAAGGAGAGGTGGTGGAGGAGTAAGACAACAGAGAAGAGATGATATTTACTGAGAAAACCCTTGCATGATGTTTGCTTTTACTGTAAAGAAATTATCCCCAAAAAGGTCAACAGGATTATAGAGCTAGGGCACCAAACATTCACTCCAATGTTTGCTCAATCATCTAATTCAAGAGGCCGTTTCACACAGATTTAATAGTCTAATTGCATTGTATGAGCTCCATTTCAAAAGATTTTCTGTCCTTCACKTTATATAAATGGCCCTTCAAAATGTCCAAAGAAACATTTTCTCTGACATCTACATTTTCAAGAGTCATATCCTGGCTGGAGAGGAACAATTGAAGTAACCGTCTGAAGGCTGTTATTTTGACTGAAGGAGATTTATGTGTGTGAAAGTGTGCACATGAAATCTTTATAAAAAAAAATGGCAAGCTTAAAACCATGTCATTTCTACTGAATTGGTTTAATCCCGTTATCTCTTTCCTGAAGTGTTGATTTAATTTCTAACAAAGGAAACAAACTTTAGATTAAACTGCGCGATGCACTGAATACGTGAAGCAAYGCAGCTTGAGGGAAGCATTTTTTGAAGTCTAAAAATATAAAGGTCAGAAAAGGAAAGGGGGGGAAAAACAAATTATTTGGGGATAGTGGAAAAAGAGGAAAGCGCATGAACTGAGACATGGTGCAAGACCTGAAATAAATACCAAAACGTCTGAAAACAAACATCTCTCTGTGGACTGTTGAGACCCAGAAGAAAAGGGTCAGTAGCAACAGGTTTCTAAGGTCCTGACCTGGACTTTTTACATTCAAGCTCAGGTGAAAATATATAAAGCAGAGAGTAATGACAGGTATACACACTTGAGACTGCTGGGACAATTTAAGGCCTCCACGGGAATCATGAAACCTTTTCATCCTTGGGGCCACTGAAAGCTCAAAGTAGCTCTGTGAAGTTGGGTAACGTGTGCAGAGCTAAAAAAAAAAACTTTACAGAAAAAAGAGCACCTACTGAGTGGACCACCAGAAAAGGTCTTCCATCCCTGTATGACATCAACAGTGCAAATAAATAAATAAAATAAAAATAAGACTAAAAACTAAGAAAAAAACAACAGCAAATTTATTTAGACCAATGCTCAAATTACACTAGTGTAACTTTTCAGTTTTATTRTTGCTAAACGTAACTTCAGTATGAACCACAATGGTAGGAACAAACAAAAATAAATCATGTWTTACTATTAACGTGTTTCAGCATCAGTATGACTCAGAAAAAGGAGGGTTTGAGGTGTAAAATGTTTTTTGTTGGACATATTCTTGCCTTAAAATATATTAAAAAAGAAGACGTGGATGTGAAGTGGCAGGGACTGAAGSCTAGCAGAAAGGATTGGTAGGCAAAGCGAGAGAAAAGGGATGTGGGAYGCTTGAAGAGCTTGAGTTCCGACAGAAACATGTCATGCACGTACTTAATGCGGTGATAGACCATCCACGGATGCATCAGGGCGTGGAGACTGTAAAGCTCGAGGCTTGACAGGGCAGATTTGTGCAATTTCAAAACGACACAGAATATGTTTGTGGAGTCTGCCGATGGACAGAGGAGTGGGGAGGGATGCGCGATGCTTTGCCTAAGGGGGATTTGGTTGCGGCGACTGCATGGGTATTTCACTGCTGTTAGCGGACTGTAGACAGGCTTCTCTTGAGGGTGTTGGAGATAACGGAGGAGGCATTCTGTGGAAAAGGAAATCCTCTTTTTTTTTCCCCAAAGGAAAACAGATTTCCAAAGCACACAGAACACAAACACACAAAAAAACATCTCTTTCTAACAGCCACCCTTGAGTTGAAGCAGAGCCTCCTCTTCACTCAGACAGTCCACCTTTGAATGTCAGCCGCTTTCATCTTCCACCGGCCAGAAGCCCAATCTACCTGTCTCCGTCCACTCACTCACTTAATCCACTCATAAACCACAGTAAAATGCTTACACAAAGAGTTCCGAGGTCCTGTGCGTGGAGACCCACACATGGAATCAAGGACAGACCATGCAGATTAACCAGCTGCAGAGAACAGAACAAGGCCCCAGCAGATAACACGGACTGCCGCTGATAAGAGAACACAGGCACGCTTCAGGAAAGAGGGTGAAATGGCCATAAAAGGTAAACCGAATCTGTTCACAATAAACAYCCCTTCATGCTTAAAGCTGGGATGGTTGCAATTCTTCATAATGCAGTTTTCTTTATAAGACAAACTTAGGGAGTGTTAGCAAGATCAGGTACATTAATGTGTTAAAAGAAATCTGAATTTGATGTGAGCATCATTAGCACGTATAAAATTATGCTTCACTCGGGGCGAAAAGCAGAAGACAGTGTAAGTCTTGAGGGATGACCCTCTTTGGTGGAATATTCTTTTATTTTTAGTGGCGTGTGAATCTGGAACACATTTTATCRTGTCTCTCCTGTTTAAAGGTTGGCCTTAAAGCTTGTGCTCACAATCATTAATAAAACACACCAAACAGAACTCTCATTGGTTTCATATTAAAACGAATTAACAGATGGTGATTTAAATTTAAAGGGAAAAATATACAGAAATGTATATTAAACATTTATGATTTCTCGTATTCTAGTTAGTTAGCTGTTGAAAAATGCTGTTTTGGTCAAACCTTGGAAATAATGTAATTCACAATCTTAGCTTTTTGGTTTTGTGACTGTTGGATTATGTGCTGTGAAAGACTCGWCTTCTACCACATCAAATTTGAGCTCAATATCTATAAAACTGAYGGCATTACAGCCATTTTTGTGTTGGCTAATGCCAATTAACTGTGGTGGCCATCTTGAAYATGRCTGACTTCAAAAGATCATCAGTTATAGATGTTCATCCAACGTTTACTTTTTGAAAGCTTYTTTAAAATCTGTCCAGTAGTTCATGATCTATTTTGCTAAAAGACAACAGTTGACTCTAACAGTTTGATGTCAAGGCAGGTTGCTGTGCAACATCTGTGCTGAAAGAGTGGGTTGAGGATGATGCACAGCATCAAAATTTAGCTCAAGGTCTGAAAAAATAACTGAATTAAAGACATTTTTGTCTTTTTTAAAATCAGTTGGATGTAGAAGCCATCTTTTACTGAGTCAAGTCCAAAAGTTAATCAGTTGTAGACGTCAACCGAATGATTTATTTCTAAAAGTTTCATTGAAATACATTTAGTGTCCCAAAAAAATACTACTAATGCAATCAGTTTAATGGGTTTTAAATTAGACGGTCCTACATTCAAGCCAGGAAAAAAAAAAACACATCTCTGTCTCATTTATATTGCTTGATATACAAAGTAGATGAGTCTTAGTGAGAGTGAAGACGACTCTAAATGATATGCCAGAACTGACATCTGTTGTGGTCAGTGATTGTGTTTTAGCAGGACTTTGATAATTAGGCATCATCTTTAATTTGAAGCCTGTGTTCCTCAAGGTAACAGCTGCCCACGCAATCCTGCTAACAGATGCGGTGTCAGCCTGACTGGGTGCTCGGGGACAAAGTGAGGATATCTTCGTCATCCGCTGGCTGCTGCGGTTCTTTATGACAATGAGCAGAGAAGAGAAATTATGTCTSGACACAGATGAGTGCGTAATAACGAGTGATTTCTTTCTCAAACTAAGTAGCAAATCCAAAACTGGAAAATTATTTAAAATCCCCTCGATTCACGTATTTTAGCCAAACCAAAAAAATGTTTTCTATAACAATGTTGTAAAAGTGAGCAATTTATATTGAGCAGCAAACCCACATTCACGGTTTCTATTATCACAGCTGAGGCTGCGCTGCTATCCAGGAAATTAACTAAGCACTGAGCGGAGACTTCCCTGGAAAATATTGGTCTAGAGAGCAGCACCCTCTCCAGGTGTGGCTTGCCGAGGTGGAACTAATTTGCCTGTGCTCAACAGTTACACAAAATCCAATTAGTCAGAACCCTTCTGCCTGTCGTAACCGTTTGGACGGCGAATATGTCATTTTTTATTGTGAACAACACASGCCGTTAGAGATCTTTATCTCATCTGCGTTTATACGGCCTCGTAAATTTGTGCTCCTCGGAGAGGAAAGTGCCGCGCCACCACATTAACTGTAGCGCTCGACGCAGTCAGGGTTAGCTGCCAGGAAGAAAATAAATGCTTTGCGTTTCTTTATTAGCTGTGCTTAATGTAAGAGAGGATTTCTAATGCCGCTGTCGTTTAGTCACATTTAAAAGATGTTAAACGTTAAACATGTTAATGTATTTATTGTCTCCAAGAAAARCAAAGCTTGTCACAAAGATATTAAATCAGGATTGTGATTCAGTTACAGATTTCTTAATTACTTTTTTTTTCTGTAAGTGTATGAGAACAGATCTACATATATTCTACGAAAAAACCTCCAAACGTCTTTACTTCACTTATAATTACACCCTTAGGGTACATTTACACTGCAGACAAATGGAACCTAAATCCAGTTTTGTTTCCCTTATGTGACCCTTATCTGATTTTTTCCTAACTGCCCAAACGTGACAAATCAATTTTTTTTCAAATCTGACCCAGGCCTTTTTAGTATGTGGCACTAAATCAGATACATGTGTGACGTTTTTCAACGTGACCTCAGTCTGATCACTCACGTCCCATTTCATCTGACTTTTACTTCAACAAGGTGAGGGTGAGCAGATGGATTTAAGAATTTAGAATATTGATACCAATTCTGGGCTATTTAAACCTTGACTCCACTAGGGCTGCAACGATTAATC